ACAAGTGCAGAAAAAGTCAAGGCGCAAGCTGAATACACATCAACTCAATCAAACTTGATGGAGAAACTCTGGAAGAGGTGGAAACTTTCACTTTCAGCATCATCGTCGATGGACATGAAGGAATGGATGCAGACGTAAACGCAAGGATCTGCAAAGCAAGGACAGCGTTCCTACAGTTGAAGATTATATATAAATCCAAACAACTGTCAGCCAAAATCAAAGTTACAATCTCCAATACGAATATCAAAACATTTCTACTGCATGGAGCTGAAACTTGGAGAACTAACACAACCATCATCAGAAAGACATAAGGAATTATAAACAATTGTCTACACGAGATACTGAATGTCTGTTGTTTGGATACCATTAGCAACAGCCTACTATGAAAGAGAGCAAACGAGATCCCAACTGAAGACTGAATTTGTAAAAGACGTTGGAAATGGATAGGACACACACTGAGGAAATCACCAAAGTGCATCATAATGTAAGTGCTAACTTGGAATCCTGAAGGTAAACGGAAAAGAGGAAGTCCATAAAAGGGATGAATAAGAACTGGAAACAACTGGCAAAGATAGCCAAAAACAGAGTTGAATGGAGAATGCTGGTGATCGGTCTATGCTCCGCCATGAGGGGTAACAGTCGTAATTAAGCAAACCGAGATTTTGATCCGGTTCATAAAGTCATTTGGTAAGTACAGACTACTAGGTTGTGGTCTTCGTAATTTCTGTGATCGGTGATTAAAGACAATGAGTGGAATGTCTCAGAATCCGTCACAATTGCCCGGTTACACTCAATATTCGCTTTCCGTTAGATAATGAGTTTTAAACTTATCTCATACTTTTCATCGCACAAATTAATTTTTTCCTTGCCAATCATCTTTGTTTATATCATAATTACTTCTGCTTCCATTATTTGGATATTCATCTTGATATGGTAATGTGATGTACCATTTTGGACTGATAAATATGTTTAGGTTGCTTTTAACTATATTCTACAGTAATTATTCACGTTTGTTCATATTCGCAATGGCGATATCTTTTATTTTCTTTGTACGTCATTGATTCACATTCTATTCCTTTCTTATAAACATCATTGTCAATATGAATTAACCAACGGAATAACAAGGAAGGATATCTTTAGTTATTACTATTAGTGCTATATGATCTACAGTCATTTAATAAGAAATATTATGATTCAACTGTCAAAATAGTTTTTTTCAGACGAACATGTTTTTATTACGGTGTATAAAAAAAACTGTAATCCATGTCAAACGATCAAAATATACACTGACTGTTTATAGAAAAATTAATAGCATACATTTTATTAAACCATGCAAGTGTATTCTATAAGGTAATTAAATCAAATAGCTTTATAGATTACTGAAATGAGATGTAGAATAGCGTAAATGAAAGAAAAAAAAATGGAAAGAGCAACAACATTACTACATATAACTAATATAAATTAACTTGTCAAAAGGTATCCATTTTCATCAATTCATAATGATTCATTCTAATTTTTATCAAGATATGAAATGAATAATTCCAGGTTGTAAAATAATTCAATGACTGAAATTTAATTTTAATAGTTGAGATCATGAGTCAATTGAAGCTAGGCCAACATGGAAACCTGTAAGCACTGGATGACCGTTTCGTTCTATTGAAGGACTCCTCCATGACCTCGCCTCGCGAGACTCGATTCTAAGATCAGTCAGTCTCGCGCGCGAGCTCTTAACCACTAGACCACTGAACTGGTCAGTGTTAATGTCTAACTTTGACTAATCCACAAAATTGAATGATACATTCACCATCGTCATCAGTCAGTTACAATCTTACAACAAACCCTATTGAACTTCACTGGCCACTGTTGAAATTTAAGTTTGAAGATTACCTCTTTATGAATATAATTCTGATTCATAGATAATAATAATAATAATCTATTACTAATTAACAGTTTTCTATTATTTTCACTCAGATATAATCAATGAAAACGATAGATAAGGTAATAAATTAGCTAAGATGTAACATAAGCGAATAGTTACAAAATATCAAATGTTCTTTATGTTTGATAGTTTTAGATACATAATAATATCTGCTAGACAGAACTATTGTAACCATGATACATATGATTACTTCTCATAGGCTTTCTCCTCTTGTCCTTAATCTAATTGAAATTAACTAATATAAGTTATACAGTAAGTATAATCATTATAGATTATTGATTTAGAATCCTTTGGTTATCATTTTTTTTCCTCTCTAGGGAATCTATGGTGAAAACATTGAATATTATCCTATCAAGTATTAGAATAACTTATTCACATTAATTATTTGAATTTTTGTTTAATTAAAAAAAATAAAAATGTATTATGCATATATTATTTATACAAGAGATTATCTCTACAATGATGTTGGTCTTCTAGAAAATAAAACAAGTAAATATCAAATTTTTTTGTGTATGTCGGTTGAATGGGATACATCATTCGGTGAAATTAAATGAACAAGTGGAAAATATTGTTTTTAACATTCAAATGTTGATGACAAATATTTTATAGTTGAATATGATAACACAATATTGGTTATATAAAGATTATCTAAATTTATGTCTAGTTTAAACAAAATAATAACGATAATATATTTACATTATATAAAGAAGGAATTCATGTTGTATTTTGTTGTGACTACAATAGAAACTTGTATGGAGCGGAAGATTGGAGAACGATGAAAGTCATCATCCAGAAGGCACAAGTGCTTATTAACAGTTGCCTAGGCAAACTACTTCGGATCCTTTGGCCAGACAATATCAATAACAACCTACTGTGGGCAAGAACAAACCAGATTTCAGTGGAAGACGAAATCAGAAAGAAGTACTGGAAGAAGGTAGGACACATATTAAGGAAAGCACCCAACTGTGTCACAAGACAAGCCCTCACTTAGAATCCTCAAGGCCAAAGGAAAAGAGGAAGACTAATGAACACATTACGCCGAGAAATGAAGACAGACATGATAAAAACGAACAAAAATTGGATAGAACTAGACTAGAAGGCCCAGGACGGAGTGAGTTGGAGAATGCTGGTCGTTGGTCTATGCTCCAGTGGCAGTAATATAACAAAAATTCTATAAAGTATTATAATCCAACCACTGTAGGAAACAATTTTTAAAAAATGTTAAAGGGTTTGTTCTCATTACAATTTACATTGCAAGCAACTTGTTGTTTACTGCTAGACATTTCTTTAAATATCATATCCTGTTGACATCTTAAATTAATCAAATTTATCAGTTTGTATGTCATTGAAAAGTTACAACAACGGAATACACTATGCATGTGTTACGTAAATCCTCTGCCTGCTATTTAAAAAAATTATGGATAAAATTAAACTGAATACTTCCGTCTAACGTCATAGCATATTTAATGTTACTATAATTCAGTGCATAAAGCAAATAGAGTTCCTGCATTATACTATCTATAAAACATAACTATTGAATTGTATTTCATTGAACAAACTAAAGTCAACATTCATTTTTGTAATGGTTGTTTGAATCTACCTATTGATGTCAGAACTTCAACTGATCAGTTCTGCAGTAAATATAAACTTTGGGATGAAGATACATCCTTCTGACAAGTCCCAAATAGAGGGAGACGAGCATCCTGGATTCTACTGCTAGCCACCATCCATCTCTGCTTAAAATTCAACACTGTTAGATCTAAAGCTTTTTATTGAAGTATTATTTGCAAACTACTAAGAACTGAATTCTCGTTCTTAATTTTTCTAAATAATTTTTTAACCTGATATTGTTTTCAGATATATATTTAAACTCATCATTTCTGGCTTCTGGTTTGATTGCGTTTGGTATCATTCAGATATAAAAATGTTACGGATAAAAGAGTTGTCAAACCCTGAATATCTGGCTGGTTTTTCACAACATATTTTGTCTTTTACGGAGCCTTTAGATACCAGAGGCCAGTGAAAATGTCGCGGTATCAGTGTGCGTGTTTTAAAATACATTTTTGGTAGACAAATGTAACTTAAGTTTTAAAGAAAAACTAATTTGTCAATATTCTTTCAGCTGTCTTTATTTAACTTTACTCAGCGTAAACGCCTAAAAAATAAATAGGAGAAGCTGTTTGGAAAGTTTTGTCATCAATAATGGTTTCTTGAAATCTTGATTAGAATCACAATGACCATAGATGTATGAGCTACACTTCTGCATTTCTCGGTAATTTAATTATAGTTTTAGTAGTGGCCGAAGCCATATAAACTTTTGTGACTATGATAATGTATTATTAGTGATGAAGTCGTTGGAGGCTTGTGGGACCATTTTAGTATAAAAATACAAGCTTGCAAAATGTAGTAACAATGATGGAATTATTAAAACTTATATACGTGGCATTACACAAATATTTAGTTTTTCTAAGAAATCCAAGCAACTAAAATAGTAGACTCAAACAACTACATACCAATTTTAACCAAACTACTTTACTATGTTGTAGCTCAAAAACTTTTCGTATGCATAGTTATTCCTAAGACCAATATAAGCACTTCATTTTCGATTCATTTTTATTTGAAAGTATGGCAAAACAAGATGAGGTCACAACGCTGTAAGTTCAAAATGTTCAAACTTTTATGTTGCTTAAGCATATGCAATATTATGATAAAATGCAATTTTATTACCAATGATCAAGTTGCGTTTTCTTTTTATTGATCATGACCGTTACGTAACTGTAAGAAACAAAATAGCTGGGGTGTTTTATATTTATAAATGATTGTCCCATTTATAATTTGGTCGGAACAAATAATGAGCTTTAGAAGCGAAGGAAATATTCTGAAACGTTTATGACATATACCTACGTACCGAACAGCTATATCTAGTAGCATTCACTGTGTCTCGAGACAAATGTTCAGCCAAGAGTTCTTACAAATAATTGCGTGTAGTAAGTTAGAGCGTACACACATCTATTAAGCCTGACAGAAACGTAAAAAAGCAGGTTTTCTCAACTTTACATACCTCAAAGTAAAATCCGAAACATCGTCAAAACGTTTCAGACGAACAGTTACCAAAAATTCCTCATTTGTTTTTAATTCCCTCCTCGGGATCTGTAACAATAAACTTCTTCCTAATTCACGAATGGCATCTGGGACTGTATGTGCAATGTTAACTGATGGGATAGAAACAAACGATAACTTGACGGGATTTAGTGACAAGTGACAGCGCTTAAAATTATCATGATTATCATGTTGTTGTTTGACGTTATCCGGATTCGAAATAAAACCCGATGACGCATATGCAAGAGTAACTTCTGGCGACTGGGTCTGCTTCCAAAGAGCTTGTGGAAGTTGAATTGATGCATGGCATATCCAGTTTTCACTAACACGGTCGATAACCAGAACACAAGATGTCAACTCGTTAAAGTACGAAGCATTTATGGATATAATGCAACACATACTGCTCGATTCGAATGCTAATTCACTGACTTTACCATAGTAGACTGCATGACATAGAAAGTGCAACGTTTTTGTCTCTTCGCTTATCTCCATATCAAAACTATGTACAGTCACATGAAATTTTGAATTTTTGATCAGCTTATCACCCAAGACAGTTAAAGAACTGTGCAAAAATCCTATCGACGCATCGATCTCATAACGGTCCAGGTTGCTTGCTGATGCGAAAAATGCTGAAGAATTATATTTAAGGCTTTGATTGTCACTGATTAGAAAGGCAGAATCTCGTTGACCAAATGTTATGTCGATCAAGTCATCTGTGTAGGCTAAAACTATAGATAATGATTATCGGCTCTATGATTTACCTCTCACAAAAACAATCGGAAATAAAATATATGTGCTAAAATATAAAATCATTCTTTGATGATAAAGGCATTTCTGCTTCTTTTCTAAGCGATAACCTAATTGATATTTGGAAAAGGGAGTATTTAAAAGTTGATGTAAAATAGTGCGATAAAACAAACTGCATATTATCCTGGAAGTAAGAAGTACCTTAACTATACGAGAAAGTGAAACATGATTCACGGACATGTGAACTGGTGTGTTGCAGGCTGAAATGTGAACGATGAGACACTGTATTGGTTGTAGTATACCGCATTTCAAATGTGTGGTGTATGACTTCTTCCTAAGCAAGCTTAAGTCCTGGGGTAATAGGGGTAAATGCCGTGTCTTAGGCGACCTTAATGCACCGTATATAAACTTGGTAAACTTAGAAGTAGGATATTCGATAACGTCATTTGATTGCAAACTGTTAGAAACCTGAATTGCACTAGCTTTACTACAACACATATGAGATCCCACCAGATGCGAAGTACGAAGCTCCTCGTCTCTCTTGAATTTCTTTTTCACACACGGTGATGATGTCGGTCAAGTGACTTTCTTACCACCTGTAAGGAGGAGTGGTCATGTATTCATCTTGTCTAAGTTCTTGGCAGAGATGGCCTGTCAAACAGTTACGCCGGCTCCTCTTGATATATGGAAGGCAGACATGGAGGCGATAAACTCCGTATCATCGGCTGAACAGTAGATAACTGACCAAGTGGCGTCAATAGAAGGGGCACGGACTCATTTCAGGCAGTCATACAATCAGGTAACTCAACCATATGTACCCCGAACAGTCCCAAAGAAGATGAAGCACCTGCCATCGCTCGATAGGTCGGGATATTCGACGTTTACTAAGACAAAAGAAGAAGTCTTGTAATGTTGCTATCAGCTCTGGTACAGTAGGTACGATGGAACGCTACCGATCTGTAAGAAACACGTGCGTAATTAAAATTCGGGAAGCTCAAAGAAAATATGAAATGAAGTAGGCACAATCTGCACTCAAGCAGCCTAAGAGACTATTCTCGTACATAAATTACAGAAAAGGGATGCATCATTGAATTCCCAACGTAATCAAAGAAGGGAATGAAGCCGAAATAATAGACGAAGATCAGAAAAAGGTAGAGGTTATGGTTGACTATTTTGCGGTTGTTTTCACTCAGGAACCTTCTCCAGACAAAGAACCAGACCCAAATACATGGCCAACAAATCACCTGCTCACCGTGGACTTTGGTCAATACTATGTACTTAAGGCTCCTAGCATCTTGGACATGAAAAAATCAACGGGACCAGATGAACTACACTCCAAAATCTTGAAACACATTGCACAATATGTCGCGACCCCACTGACTGTGATATTCAATATATGTCACTTGACCAAGGTGTGTTACCTATGGACTGGGAGGAAGCAATCATCACTCCTATACATAAAACAAGACCAAGACAACTTCCATCATACTACAGACCTGTAAGCCTCATCAGTGTTTTAGTCAAAATATTGGAAAGAATAGTCAAAAAACCATAATGACATGTGTGGAAACCAATAACCTGTTAACCAGCGAACAACATGGTTTTAGACAGGGTCTATCACGTACAACGAACCTCCTTATATCTATGAAATATTGGATAAAGGCGCTAGACAATGGAAACTCAGTGGATGTTGTCTACACAGACTTCAGTAAGGCTTGAAGATGTCACAGGTATTCAGTGTTTCACAACGCTTCTACCAGTAACACCTAATATATTTCGTTCCCACCCAGAGAAATCAAAAGACAGAGTCGAGGAGATCGGAAGAGTGTATTTGGCAATTACCAATATATCGGAATTCTCTGATCTAATCTGGCTAGCAATTGCGGTTGATGTTGGGCACGGCGTTACCACACGTGATCTGGTGCGGATGCCTGATCGAGCGCCTTCAGCTAGATGAGTCCACTAAAACATATGGTCAGCATCCAATGTCGAAAACTTACAGGGCTATTTACTTTGGGGATTTATTTACCGCTACAGGCTTTTGACTACGTACCAGCAAATAGACTGCTATTGATGTTAAAAAATCTTGGTATTACCGAACCTGTTTTAAAGTGGCTTAAGGATATCCTAGTAGGTCGCTGACGGAGAGTGAGAATAAATTCCAAGTGCTCCACCTGGAGACCAGTACTTAGTGGAGTACCTCAAGGTTTTGTTTAAATCCTCTGCTTTTTATACTGTATGTAAATGATCTCCCAAGTACAGTACAGTCACCAATGTTATTATACCCTGACGATGTAAAATCTGACGAGTAATAACTGAAGGCAAAGATGCATGTACTCTTCAGGCAGACTCAAATAACATGATAAACTGGTCTGAAGAGTGACTGATGCCTATCAACTCGGAAAGGTGTGTGTACGTGCACTTTGGGGATTCAAAGGTTATTAGTTACAACATAGGGGATGTGCCACTGCCCGTAGTCCGGTCTCATAAGGATCTAGGGGTGAGAGTGAGCAATGATCTTAAGACGACGGCCCATTGCCGGGAGGTCGCAGTCAAGGTGTTTCGAACCCTCTATCCTCTAAAAAGGACATTCACTAAGTTAGACACTACCATGTTCACTACAGTATACACATCCTTAGTGAGATCCAAGCTTGAAAACTGCGTTCAGGCTGTAAGTTTCTGTTTAAAATATGGCTCGGATATCCTGGAAATGGTACAAACGGCAGCTACTCATTCGATTCCAGAACTCCGAGGTCTACCATACAAAGGGCAATTTGAAAAGCTAGACCTCTTTGCTCTGTTCTATCTCAGATTAAAAGGTGATCCGATTTTGATGTATAGAATACTGAGAAATGATTTTAGACCTAATATATTCCCTCTTTTTCTTCCCACTAGATCGGGACATTTCAAAGGACAAAGCATTCGAGCAAAAAAGTCAAGAACGAACAGGATACCCGTGTTATACAGGTTTTCATACCGAGTCATCAAGTCTTGGAACCTGTTACCCGACGTGGTCGTGTCTGTATCACCAATTAACTCATTGAAGAGAAGACTAGACACCTACGAAAGTATACTACAAAAGGAATATCATAGGTCATAGGCCTACTGTCCTTACTACACAAATCTGAGTCTGAAAAATCATTTCCCGAAATACAGAATTATTTTTACAGCGGCCAGTTTGAATATCTGGGCTACCTGTTTCTGCCATTTGATTATTTCAACAAGTTATTAGAAGCATTCTTGAAAAGGAGGAGCAGAGGCCATAGACCTTCTGTCCCTAACACACAAATCTTATTATTAGCAGTAAAGACCAATTTCTCATTCCCGTTAGAAAGGACTCCAATTTTCGAGCTCGGTCGTGATATCCATTTATCGGAATATAGACGAAATGTCCATGAATCTTGGAATGCAGGTAATATTTTATTCATTATAAAACTGTTTGAAAATTGTTGACTGTGTAGAAGATTCTTTTGTCAAACAATAATTATTGCCTTATAACAATGAATAACCTACTTTCCTTCGTGAGAACCAGGCATAAAAACAAACATTCAGTAGTCACTTTACTAGTACTCAGCCTGACCTTGTATGTCGAACCTCAAACTTTCGAGTATTTCCCCTGACATCTATGTTACGGCTGATGGTTCTAAGGATCCTTACCGGTGTTTGGACGTGATAAAGTCCTCTCTAAATCGTTTATGTTCTGAGTTATGAATAATAATCGGTTTAAGTCAAACCTCATATTTTTAGAACTTAAGAAGGCTAGCAAATACTTTGCCCTATCATTAGATAGCCTTCAGAGTATTCTTATCATTTTTTGGATTAAATGATAATGAACCGTTATCAAAAATACCTGATAATGTGCATTAGAGGTATCAGTAAAATTTAGGCCCCACAGGTATTTTCTCGCATGACCCAGTGTTTGCTTCAAAGAACTAAGACGCGTAAATGTTTTGGATCGATGACACTTTGAGCGGGTGATCATTCAGTTTTCGACTCATAATATGATGCCGACAATCGACTTAGTGATACGTCCTTTCTAATCAGCCTGAATTCAAAGTTAAATAACGTTATATTAAAGTATGAGCTACTCTATTTAGATATGAGGTTCTAACAATTGTATAATCGGCGAACAGTTATATTTCAGATGACTTATGGACGTTTACCCCAATAACGTGTTGTCAAAGTCTCTACAATAGTGATATGTCTTGAGAATAAATATAGAATTGGCTCTTGTTTTAGGGCTTGATCAGATTGATTCAGATGTATGTGTGATAATAGCAAATCAGTTGTGTATTGGCTCAAGTAAGTTTTTTATAACACTGACGAACAAATTGAACCAAACATTTCTAATCACTGTCTTTATACGCAGTTGGATTTGTTAATTATTCGCTTATGACCCTTGAACAAATCTATATGGGCGTGTGTCTGGTTATCACTCAGTGTAAACATAACTTCAGTGGTATCCAGAGTGATGGAAAAAGTAGTTAAGGCGGCTGTAGTCCAACATCTACTAACTAATAATCTCATCTCGACCTCCCAGCATGGATTTCTTAGGTCCAGATCATGCGATACATGCCTAGTAGACTACCTGAATGATATAACTCTGAAACGAGACAGCGGACTCCTTGTATCAGTCCTATTCCTAGACTTTAAGAAAGCCTTTGATAAGGTCCCACACAAAAGGCTACTCGTCAAACTAAAGTCCTTCGGAATACACAACCCACTGTACTCATGGTTTGCTTCGTTCTTAACAGAACGTAAACAGATGGTAAAGTACAATGACTGTCTCTCGTCCCCTAGACCAATCACCAGTGGAGTCATCCAGGGAAGCGTATTAGGTCCACTTTTGTTTCTTATGTATATAAACGATATATGTAACACCATAGAATTTGGGAAACCATACTTATATGCTGATGATCTCAAAATAGTATACAGCTATAAGCCTGAGACACTAAGCGAAAGTGTATCCCAGATCCAAAAGGACCTCAATAACTTAACTATATGGAGTGAAAAATGGCAATTACCATTTAACCTCAACAAGTGCGGGATCATGCACTTTGGAAAGC